TAGCCAATCAAATCATCCATCCATCCATCACCAGCCAGTTAGCCAATCAAATCATCCATCCATCACCAGCCAGTTAGCCAATCAAATCATCCATCCATCCATCACCAGCCAGTTAGCCAATCAAATCATTCAGCCAGCCAACCGCTAACCAGTCGGCCAATCAAATCCTTGATCCATCAATCTATGCATTTTCCCATCCATTTATCCTCCATCTACCCAACCATCCAACCATCTGTCCATCCATTTACCTTTCCGTCTATCTGTCCATCTACTCATCCATCCTTCCAATAACCAGCCATTCACACACTAGCCCATGAAGCCCATGGACCATCTACCAGGGAACTGTCCTTCACACACTCCTCATGCACCCCCTCCCATCAGTCCAACCACTGAGCCCCCTGTCCTGCACACCAGAACTGGGACCCCAGTGTGGCTAAGTCCATTCAGGCAAGGAAGTGGACGTCCGCAGGATGGACACTCCAGGACACTGAGCGCTGAACACAGCCAGGAGGCACTTCCAAGCCAACTTCCTCCTCCCCTGGCGTCAGCGCCTTTGCTCTGGGATTGCCATCCTCCCACCAGCCACCACCCGGTGACTATGGGTCCTTCTTGGGACACGCATTTCCCACCACTTCCACCTTCTCAGAGGCAGATGCTCGTCAACCACCATCATTCAGATAAGGAAACCGAGGCGTGCAGGGGTGACATAGCTTTCCCAGGTGACACAGCGAGCTCCTGGGAGAACCCAGGCCTGCCGTTCCTTCCTGCAACCTGAGGCGTGTTTACGGGGTGCTGCTGCTGGGGGGACCGTGCTCCCCTGTCTCCGGGTGCAGGGAGGCCACAGGGGGTGAAAGGCTGAGTCCATGTAAATGATCACAGAGTCCTTCCCACCCCTGGCCAGCAGGGCTGTCCGGGCGCGTGGGGGCTGTGCCTCTGCCTGCACGGCCACCCCTCTCCCTTTGCTGACCACCACATCACCCTCTCAGCCTCCAGTCACAGCAAGGTCTCCCTCTTGACAGCTGTGAGACCCCTGCCTGCACCTCCGCAGCTATGGTGACCGCTTTGCCCAGTGTGCATCTCCACCAGCGGGAGGGACTGGCTCCCAGCACCCAGGAGGACACAAAGCACCCAGGAGGGTACTCAGCGGACACTGGCGGAAGGCTCGACCCCTCTGACATGTCTCTGACCTCTAGCCACTCCTTCCTGCTCTCTCCAGATGCCACTAACTCCTCCTGCTGTCCTGAGGGCCTCCACCCAACGGGCCCTGACGATTCCAGCACCTGAGACACCGAAGTTCATGGTTGACCTCAGCACGCACCCAGGACCAGGCCGGGCTAGACATTGGCGGTGGACGCCTAGAGGATCCCCCACCCCTCGCCTCCTCCCCAGAGCCTCCCTGAGGGGCGGCCTGTGTCGCAAATGCATGGAGGCTCCTCGCTGGCCTTCTCTGTGAGAGATGTGCCTGAGAGCAAGGTCCCCAGGACGGGAGGGGTTTAGCATGTGGCCCTAGCGGCTGGCCCAGGGCAGGATCCCACAGGGCCTCAGACATTGCAGAGGGAACCCATGAACGGATGGCCGGCCAGGCCGAGAGAGGCAGAGCCCCAGGCGAGGTGGCAGGCAGCTGGAGGATCTGGTTCCCTTGGACAAAGGCGGGCGCAGGGACAGGTGAATAAATCATGAAGGGCTGCAGAAGGGCAGGGCAGGACAGCTGACCTCATTCTGGGAGTTGAGGAGCAGGCAGGTCCAGGTGGTGAGTGAGCAGGGCGGGCGCAGGGCACAGGAGGCCGAGGGGCGGCCAGCCCCTGCACTCTTCCCCTGGAGGAGCAGGAGGCCGTGGCCAGCAGCGGGTGGAGGCCACTGAGACTCGGGGGACACACAGAGATGGTGGCAGGGCTGGGGTGGAGGGTGAGTGGGACACAGAACCGGGGGCCCTGGGCCAGAGGGGTGGACGCAGGACAGGTGGGAGAAGGAGGCCATATCAGATGGGAAGGCACGGACCCAGGTCTGCAGGGCCTGGGTGGAGCCCGGGGGCAGCCAGAAGCCCACCTGAGGCCTGGGGGGCGGCAACGTGGGAGGAGCAGGAGTTCCAGGAGGGCTTGTGCCAGGCCACCAGGCCGGGGAGGGAGCCGGGCCTCCGAGGCATGGACTCAACTAGCCACGGAGGGAGGACACTGGGAAGCCACTGAGCCACCCACCCACAGGACAAGGAGACAGCAAGGCCCAGAGGAGGTGCCAGCCCCAGGTCATGGACCCGCCCCAGGGCCCAGCGGCCAGCAGCACCCCTTCGGAGGACCCCAGCCCCACTGCAGGCACCGCAGGGCCCAGCCAGGCCCCTGCCAGCCCAGCAGCCAGCAGGAGGGCGCTCCTCCGGGAGCTTGAGGCCCAGGTGCAGGCGGCCTACGGGCAGGTAAGGGGGCACCGTCCTTGACTGAGGGAGCACGGGGACCCTAAGCCTCCAGGGAGATCCCTGTAGAACAGACCCAAGGCCAGGGCCAGGAAGAGACCAGGACGCACATGGCCAGAGGAGTCAGGAGGTCAGCAGAGGCCAAGGGAGCCTCTCCCTACCCTGTCCACACTGAGCGGCCACCCCCAGCACTCAGCCCCTTCAGCCCGGGGACCAGGGCCAGGGCTGACCCAGGCGACGGGCACGAAGGCAGGCCAGAGGCTGTCTCGGGAAACAGTGGCCCTGCAGCTGGGGCCGCGGGCTTCCTGGGCTGGGCCAAAGTGGCCTCCTCTCTCTTGAGAGCTGGCGGGATTTAGCTACTGTCCCGAGGGAGAGGGTGCCCGGACCCTGGGCACCTGGGAGCCCGCTTCCTCCTCCCAGACCCCCCAAGACATGAAGCTTCTCCTGATGGGAGAAGTCAGGGGCAGGTGGGAGGAGCGGGGCCCGGGCAGACCCTCAGGGCCAGCAGAGCCAGGCTGCGCCTTCCAGGGGGCCTTGGGCCCCAAGTGGCCCCCCTGCCTTGGAGATGCTCAGAGATAATCCTGGATTAGGACCCAAGCCCCGGGCCCAGGCCCCCCGCCTGCCCACCCGCCCCATCTTCCCCACAAAACCCTGGGAAAATCCCTCGGTGCTCTGGGCTGTCGCTGGGAGCGGCTGAGGCTGGCAGGACCCGCAGCTCCCGCCGGGACACAGCCCCGGCATGGTTCAGGGGCCCATGGGAAACTGTGCCAAGCGGCCCCGGCGCCGGGGGCCTAAGGTAGGAGGCCGACGGGGAGAAGCTGGGCCAGGCGCCGGGGTGGCCCTGAGGGCGCAGGTGGCGGGCCAGGGTCTGTGGGGCGGGCTGGAGTGAAAGGTGGGGACGGAGGGGATATCTGCTCACCACCCTCAAGTGTCATTTTCTCCTGGACCACCCCAGGCTTGGCCCACTCCGGGTGGCCCACGCGGGCTGCTGGCTCCGGCTGCGGCCCTGCTCTCCGCTAGCCGGGCATGGCCAGTGTGGCCCAGAGCTGGCACCCGGGTCTCCTTTCCCCAATGAACCATTGCCAAGTCCCTTGCCTTTCCTGGGCCTCAGTCTGCCAGCTGAGCAGCTGGGGACAGACGTGCCCAGACCAGAGGGTGGAAGGGCAAGGCTCCTGCGCGCCCTGGGCCCCTGCCCACTGCCTGGCGCTGGGTTCCAAAGGCGGACCTGAGGCTTGGGGAGGAGCCACCAGGCCACTGCCCCAGCTTACGGCCGGCTCTGCTGCAGGACCCCTGGCAGTGGCCTGGCTTCCCGCTAGGGAGCTCCCAGCCCGGCCCTGGCTCCAGTCCAGAGGAGCCCGGCAGTGCCCAGGGCTACTCGGTGCTCGGCAGCCTGGTGGGGTCGGCCTGCATCTTCCTCCGGCCCAGCATCGCCGCCACCCAACTCGTATGTACGGCCGCGGCCGCCAGCCCAACGCCCTTGGCTCTGAACGGGAGAGAGGACGGATGCAGGGTGTCATCAAAGCAAACACATGGCACTCCAGGGGTGGGGTGGGGGCAGAGGGCAGCGCCAGGAACAGAGAAGAGCTGGAACACCGGAGGAAAGAGACCCGGTGGGCGGCGGGGGCGGGGACCCAGAGAGGCAGCCCCCCGAGGCAGGGAGCATCCCGGTGTGAGCACTTGCTTGGCTCGTGCCAGGCCCTGAGTCCCATCCCCAGGATTGAGAGAAAAAGAGAGGAGGAGGAGGAGGAGGAAGGGCGACCCACCCGGGCGAGCTGGCAGAGTGGCCAGGCCGAGAACAAGACACAGTGACACTGATGCCAGCAGGGTCACACCGGAGCCTCTACCTGATGCACCTCTGCCCAAAGGAGCCCCCAATGGGGTGGTGACCTAGGGAGGCCCTAGGTACAACCTGGGCGGGAGGCAGGGAGAGGGCACCAGGAGGCCCCGGGGTCTGCTGTGGGGTGTCCTGGGTGGGCACCCAGGGACAGGAAGGAAAGGAGCAGCCGCTGGGTGGTCCAGGGAACGCCTAACCCATCTGTGTCCCCCAGGACCGGGAGCTGCGGCCCGAGGAGATTGAAGGTAAAGGTTTGAGAAGGGAGGGGGCTGGGGTGCACAGGCAGGGCACCAGGCGGGGACCCCAGCAGTCTCCAGGAGGAGCCAGGAGCAGGAGGGAGGCCAGGGGGACAGGTCTGAGGAAGTGGGGGGCAGATTGAGCAGGGAGAGGTGGCAGGCAGACCCCCCTCTAGCCGGCAGGTCCCTGGTCTGCTAACACCTCTGGGTGGGCTCTGGGGAACATGGCAGCCTGGGATTTGGAGCAGAGAGTGTTCCAGAATGAGGGTCTGTCTGCGTCTTCCTTTCTCCTTCCCTTTCTCAACCACTGACCTACACCCCCCAGTCCTGTGAAACTTTTACTTAATTTTTTTCTTATTTGGTACTTGGGATTGAACCCAGGGTACTTTACTACTGAGCCATATCCCCAGCCTTTTTTATTTTTTATTTTGAGACAGGGTTTCGCTAAGTTGCTGAGGCTGGTCTTGAACCTCCTCCTGCCTCAGCCTCCCAAGTCGCTGGGATTACAGGTGTGCGCCACCATGCCTGGCACTTCCTTTCTTTTTTTATTCACTGCTACATCCCTAGTGCCCAGAGCAGACCCTGGCATATAGAAGATGCTCCTTCAATATTCACTGAAAGAAGAACTTTTTAACAAACAGCTTGTGCAAAGTTCCTGAGGCAGCAAATGGGAACTGACGTTTGGAAGGAGGGAATGATTGGACCAGGGGAGGAGAAGGGGCTGATCCAGGCTAGGATGCAGCGGGAGCGAAGGAGGGACTAACCCCACCCTGCCCGGCAGAGCTGCAGGCCGCCTTCCAGGAGTTTGACCGAGACCGGGACGGCTACATCGGCTACCGGGAGCTGGGTGCCTGCATGCGGACCCTGGGCTACATGCCCACGGAGATGGAGCTCATCGAGATCTCGCAGCAAATCAGTACGTGCTTCAAACCTGCCCCATCCCTAGTTCTCCAGACACCCTGCCAGGACCAGGGTGACCGTGCAGGCTGTCCCCAGAGCCCAGGGGCTAGGTTGTTCTCGAAGCAAGCATTCTGCCTCCCCCAAATCTACCACCCTCCAAGAGAGGTGGGGCAAGGCCAGGGCTGTCCTCCACAGAGAGGGAGACAGTGTGAGGCCCCAGAGCGGCTCAGGGCGCCAAGACCTGAGCGACGTCAGGAAATGGAGGGGCGAGGAGCGTCCAGGGAGCTCTAAACAGTGGCTCTCCTCTTGGCCAAACCCATGCCTCAGTTAGAGGCTGATGCCAGGAAACAGAGGGGGAAGGACCCATTTCTGAGGCTGGGATGAGGGCCGGGGGCAGAGGCTGGGGTCTCTAGCAGGTGGGTGTGACCCCCCAGGTGGCGGGAAAGTGGACTTCGAGGACTTTGTGGAGCTGATGGGCCCCAAGCTGCTGGCAGAGACGGCAGACATGATTGGCGTCCGGGAGCTCCGGGATGCCTTCCGGGAGGTGGGCCTGGGGCTGGGGGGCTGGGCTGCGCGAGTCGGGGGCTGAGCAGGGCAGACCCAGTCGGTGACCCCAGGCCATGACCAATGCGCCACAGTTCGACACCAACGGGGACGGCTGCATCAGCGTCGGGGAGCTCCGGGCGGCCCTCAAGGTCCTGCTGGGGGAGCGCCTCAGCCAGCGGGAGGTGGACGAAATCCTGCAGGACATCGACCTCAACGGGGACGGCCTGGTGGACTTTGAAGGTACAGCCTGACACACTTAGCAGCGCAGGCCCTGGAAGGTTCTTAAGAGATCAAGGACAAAGGGAGTGTCATCGCATGTGCCAGACCCTGCACCGAGCACACCCTTGTCCCTCCTGGTCAATCATTACTGAGAACCCAGGAGGAAGGGACTCTGTCATCCCCCAGGCAGGAGAGTCAACTCTCAGGGAAGCCTGGGAGCTTAGCCAAAGAAACAAAGGAGCCAACACTGGAATCTGGGCAACGGATTTTGAACCCAATACTTACCATATAAAGGAAAAACAAAGCTTGCGTAATAATCAGAAGCCAAGGAACATTACTATGTAGAAATGCAGTCTCCAGGGGCTGAGGATGTAGCTCAGCTGGTAGAGGGCTTGCCTTGTATGCATCAAGGCCCTGGGTTGAATCCCCAGCACCACCACCAAAGAAAAATAAAAATAAAAGCACTCTTCAAAGTTGCTCCTGAGTTTCCTAGTGGCCAAAGCAAAAAAGAAAAAAGGTTCAGTTGCAAGAACTTTTTTGTCTATAAGACAAAGTTCCCTGTTCCTGGTCCTAAGGCTTATTCCCCATCTGATCCAGGGATCCCACTCTGGCCCACCCCAAGGTAGGCTTGTTGGCCTCACCCTCAGTGGGGTCAGAGGAGGACCTAAAACCTTGGCTTTGCCCTGGCAGAATTTGTGCGAATGATGTCTCGCTGAGCCTGTGCAGAAGCTGCAGGAAGCAGACAGGACACGAGGACCTCAGCCTCTGCCTGCCAGCGGGTTCCTTGAAGCCCATGTGGACAGCTGCGCCCGGCTCCTGCCTGTGGGTGCCCTTGTCTGTCTTCGGCCCTCCCCCCATGTTTGCCTGACAATAAAGCCTCTTCAAGCCAGGGAGATGGCTCTGACCCCTTGCTTGCTTATCTGGGGGGCCCCAGTGTTTGGCCCCGAAGAGCTGAGCCCTGGGCTGTCCTCTTGGGCCACAAGCCCCCTTGATTGTGAGCGGCAGGCGGGTGGGGACCCTCTCTCCCTCCTCTCTGGATCACGGGACTGCTTGTGCAGGTCAGGTGTGTGTTGGCCTCCAGTGTCTTCCGCTTATCCCGAGCGGGGATCCAGCGGCAGGGCTCTTCCCAAGCTCCATCCCAGTACTCCTGCAGCAGCCTGGGGCAGGCCGTGCTCAGAGGCCCCTCCAGAGCTTGGCCTTTGGCTTCAGGAGTGAGCAAGCTCGCTTACCCCCGCCTTGCCCTTCCTCACAGCCCCAGTTCCTCTCAGCTCTGCCTCTGGGGGATCCACAGACGCACCTCACTTCAAGCCTGGCCCAGACTTCAAAGCCATACCTTCCCAACTGAGGCAGCTGAGAGGCCGGGCGTCTTTGTCCATTCCTGCTGCTGTAACAAAATCCCTTAGATGGGCACTTTATACACAGCATGAAGACAGCGCTCATGGTTCTGGAGGCTGGGAAGTCTGAGGTCAAAGCCCAGGCAGATTGGCTCCACCTGCGCCAGGATGGCGCCTGGGCGCTGCTTCCTCTGGGGGTGCTGAACATTATATCCTCAGGTGGAGAAGAGCAGAAGGAGCAAAATGCCTACCCAGTCCCCTGCAGACCTAATCCCATCCACAAGGCAGAGGCTTCTGGGCTAATGGCCTCCTGCAGGGCCCTCCTCCTGATGCTGTTGCACTGGGGATTCAGTTTCAATGTGAGTTTTGGAATCCACATTCCAAATCACAGCATTGCACCTAAGTGTCTTGTCAGGAGTCCTGCAGCCCCACCGCCCTCTCTCTCCACGCTCTGCTGGATTGTTCTGTCCTACTTATCTTTGCCACATCCTGTTCAGGACCTGGCCATGACCCACCCCCTCATTGTGCCCAGGATAACCCAGCTCCATTGCCTGGACCAGAGGGCTCCAGGAGCATGAGGGACACACAGTGATGATGAAGGATCCAGGCCCAGGGACTCTAAAGCCACAATGCCAACCAGGGAGGGGCCCTGGGACAAGTCTCAGCCTAGGACAGGTCAGGTGAGGGTACACCCAGGACGGATCTCTGCCTCTTCCAGCTGCAGGAAAGACCTGGTCTGCTGGGAGGGAGAACAAGCCCTAACCTTCGATCAAAGGCTGGGAGCTCTCAGCGCCCTGGTACTTACACCAAGGCCCTGGGCCAGAGCAGGCAGCCAGCCACCAGTGCCCTGCCCAGCCCAGAGCACAGACGCTGAGGTGCCAGGACTGGCTGCAGCTGCCCTAGCACCACTCGCCTGGTAGATCCCAATTAATTCTTAATCCTCAATTAGGCAATCCCTCCTGCCAAGCTGGCGGCCTGGGGACAAGTGTGAGTTGCCCCAGCCAGTGGCTTCTCTGGGAGCCTCACAGCTGGCACAGATGGTATCACTGCCCAAGATGATGTCCCTGCAGGACTGGAGGTAGTGATGGATAGGAGTCAGGGGAGCGCACAGCCCACTCAGGCTCAGCTGGCAGGCCCTGTGGTTGGGCCACAGAGGTCCCTGGGTGGTTTTCATCTGGTTCAGTATGTCTGCTGCACTGGAAGTACCCTCATACCTGCCTCCCTAAAGGGCTTTATTCCAGAAGGTCCCAACAGACAACAGCTGGAGCAAGGATCAGGGCCAGGCAAGGAACAGCAGGCAGGCTGACCAGGATGAGCCAAGTGCCCCTTCCCACTGGCCATTGCCAGCAAGAGCAGGCCCAAGCTATCCAAGCTGATTTCCAGACTCTGTAAATTCAGAGGTTTACATTAAATCCACTGTAAGTATTTTAAGAGTAGCGTGCATTCAGTAGGTGTGTAAATCTTAAATGTACAGCTGAGTGTATGTCTCCTTGGGTGTAACCATCATCCAGGTCGCATATTATGTCCACTTGTTGTATTTAAGAATAGCTTCAGGCTCAGGGAATCATTGTGAAGATGGTGCAGACTTGCCTGTGTACCCCACATTTAGCATCCTCTATGTATTTATTCAGGGTTCTCCAGAGGAAGAGAACAAATAGGAAAGACAGACAGACATCTGTTTATCAATCAGTGGATGAATAGGTAGATACAGAAAAAGACAGATATCCTGTGAAGGAGAGGATCATGGGTACCAAGCACAGTTAGACAGAATAAAAGGAACGAGTTTGATGTTCTGCAGCACATCGGCGTGGCTTTAGCTCATGCTAACCCACCATAGAGTCTAAGAAGATCCAACATAAAGAGATGAGGAGGAGCTGGGCGCAGGGTGCACACCTGTAATCCCAGCAACTCAGGAGGCTGAGACAAAAGGATTGCAAATTCAAGACCAGCCTCAGCAACTTAGTGAGGCCCTCAGCAAATAAAAAATAAATAAAAAATAAAATGGCCTGGGGATGTGGCTCAGTGGCTAAGTACCCTGTGTGCAATCCCTGATAGAAAAAGAGGAGAAAAAGAAATGAGGAGAGGAAAAACAATGTTAGACTGATTTAATCAGTGTGTGCCATATGCATTTGTGGAAATATCATGCTAAAATCCATTAATATGTTAATAAATATATGACAAGCAAACAAAATAATTTGTATAAAAAAGGTTAGCTGGGCTGGGGTTGCGGCTCAGTGGCAGAGCACTTGCCTAGCGTGTGTGAGACACTGGGTTCAATCCCCAGCACCACATAAAAATAAACAAATAGATAAAGATATTGTGTCCATGTACAATTAAAAAATATTTTTTTAAAAAAGTTAGCTGCCCCTCAGCTGCTCTTCAGCTGACTCCTGTATCCCTCTGTCCTCCCTGACACTGGATATGTATTTGTTTCTTTTAGCACTTTCTTACTTCCTGGTCTTGCTAGACGCTCCAGGCTCCTCTTCTGTATTTCCTACCATTTTTACCAGGGTTCACATTTCTGGAGAATGGTTAGAAACCAAGGTCTGGCCACAGCCCAAGTTGCTTGTTGCTTCTGGGCTGGGGGTGCTGCTTGCATCTCCACCTTCTCAGCTGATGGAGCGAGGAGACGTGGGTGTGTATACTACCCCGTTTATATATTCATGAAGATTTCTGAATGAAAGCCACTGGATCTATATTAAGCTACATGGGAGTTCACACGATGCCTCCAACCCCGATCCATTTCACATGGAACCTTCGAGCCTTTCCCCTTGCTTATCTGTAGCTTTTCATGCCAACGGGAGAAACCTGACTCCCACCACCCAGCTTCTATTCGCTGGGTTGTTCAACACGGGCGCACATGTGCACTGGTCTCGGCATCGTTGAGCTACAGGCCTTCAAATAACATTGTGTCAGCGAAATCCCCGTGCGCAGGTGCAGTTCCTCCTCCTTCAGCCTCCCAGATTCCACTCATTTCCAGGCCAGTCCCTGTTCCCCACCTGCCTTGGTGAGGTTCCCTTGTAATTTATAATTATTTGGTCATACTCCATACTGCATCCTGGGGTCCACCGACCTCCTAGATGATTCTTTAACATTCGCATGAATTAGAGTCCACTCACTGACAGATGCTTATTGTCTTCTCTTACCCATTACAGGCCCATATGCAATCGTTTCACTCCCTTAAAAAAAATGCCCTGACCTTTACCTATTCAATGGCACCTCCCCACTCCAGCGGGCAACCAGTGATCTGTTAACGTTCTGTACCACTTTCCCTTTTCCAGGATGTTCTATGATTGGAACCTTACAGTATGTGGCTTTATCAAACTGGCTTCTCTCACTTACTATACAGTGGTAAAGTGCTTGCCTGAAATACATGAGGCTCTGGGTTCAAATCCAGACCCCCCCCCCACACACACACAGAAAGATTTATCTATGTCTTTTTATGGTGAAAAGGTGATTTCTTTTATGACTGAATAATAGTCCATTGTACGGCTATGTCACAGTTTATTTACCTGCTCATCCATCAGAGATGGGCTATAGTTTGAATCCTGCATGTCCTCCAAAGGTGTATGTGTAGAAGGCTTGATCTCCAGCCTGTGGTGCCATTGGGATTTGGTGGAACCTTCAGGAGGTGGGACCTGGTGGGGGAAGAGATGCATCACTAGCACCTCCTCTTCCTCTCTGGTCACCTCCCAGCCATCCTGAGGTAAACCAGCCTCTACCATGTAGATGTGCCCAGTCACAATGTACTTCTTCAACACCAAGCAACCATGGACTAAACCTCTGAGACCATGAGACAAAAATGAATCTTTTCTCCCTCAAAGTTGATTTTCTCAGGTATTTGGTCATAGGATGTGAAGCTGACTAGCACAAAGGCATCCAGGTTGCCTCTGGTTTTGGAGATTATAAAACTGCTACATTCGTTCACATGTGGGGACATACATTTCCCAGTTGGTTGGTTAATAAGCAGGCACACAATTGCTGGATGAGAGTAAGAATGTGTTGAATCTTGGAAGAAACCACCAACTGTCTTCCCAGGTGGCTGAAGATAAACAAGAGTTCCATGGCTTCGCGTCCTTGCCAGCAATTGGTGTGGTCAGACTCTGGACTTGGCCATTCTGACAAGTGTGCAGGGGTGTCTCCTGCTGTCCATCCATTCACTGTTCTATGAAACTTTTCAAATATTTAGTAAATTGAAATAGTTATTCAGAGATACAATGTTGGCCACTACTATAAAGTTTTAGATCATTGAAAAGCCCAACAAGCCCATGTGCAGGCTGAACTGAGCCTGTGGACTCAAAAACAAATTTTTGTTGTCTTCGCTTCTGATTTGGAGGTTGTCATGCTGAACGTTTCCAAAAATGCAGGAGAGAGGCTGAGAGGAGAGAGGACCCCCTGAAGCCTTGGCCGGGAGCTTGCACTATCTCCCCCCAGGTGGACAGGGTCCTCTCCCTGGGACAGACCCCAGATGTCACTTCCAACCTCCCTCAAGGATCTCTGCTCCTCCTGCCACATGGCCCAGCCTCTAAGCAGAGATAGTACAAGGTTCAGCCCCACCTCACCTCCCAAGCAAACCTTCTTTCCCAAAGATGGGTGTTAAGGACTGAATGTCCCCTAAGTTCATATGCTAAAGCCCTAGTCCCCAATGTGGCTATATTGGAAATGGGCCTCTAAGGAAGTAATTAAAGTCAAAGAGATCACAGAATAGGAATCTCATGTCTTTACAAGAAGAGACATCAGAGATCACTCTCTCTTTGCACCAAGAAAAGGTCATGTGAGGACAGAGTCTTCAGAAACCCAAAATGATGGTGGCCTGAAATTGAACTTTCAATCTCCAGAACTCTGAGAAAATAAATTTTTGTTGTTTAAACCACCCACTGGGTGGTATTTGCTTTTGTCTATGTATTTATCAGCCCCAACAGACTAATATGAAGGACAATGGAGAAAACAGGAAGGACTAAGGTTTGGAACTGGAATACACTTGGTATTCCACAGGAGTTCCTCTTCACTCCCTGCCATAGCCATCTCCTGCAGAGAGCAGGCTCGGTGCACTGGTGGGCAGTGGAAGATCTTGGGTGACACATTAACAATTCTTAACAGTAATATAATTTGAATATGCATTAGAGAACTATAAAGAGCATATTGAGTACACGATTAAGTGGACATTATTGTTTTTCCTTTTTGAGGTTTTTAAAAAGTACTTGATTTAAAGGAAATATCAACTAGATAGCAAGGCCCCCCGAGGGAGTTTCATGATTGGCTGAAGCTAGGGAAGCACAAGATGGGTGACAAGCTTGGCTTCCTCATGCTGTTATCTCTACTTCTCTTCCCACTTCCCAATTAACCCTCCAGGGAAAAAGTGACTCCGGCTCAGGCGCTGGAACCTCTGAACTTCAAACAGGGCAGTTCCTCCACTTGGAATGCCCCCCCAGTCTCTGCCCACACTCTCACCCAGCCAAACGCCATCTCCACTGGGAAGATTTCTGTGATGTCACTAAGCAGTCCCCTTTAAATTCCAATGCACCCCGTCCTGGTCTCCACTGTGGTCAGTCTTACTACAATGTGTGTCTTTGCTTCCTTAGGTCCCCCAAAACAGGAGATCCCAGGGGCAGGAGGCCGTAGCTAGTTCATTTCTGTATCTTCTTTCAGGACAAGAGGGCATGGAGGAGGAAGTCGGAAAATGTTTGCCAGACAGATGAAGGAACACATGTCCTGAGGATGAAGGAAATCTGCAGAGAAGGGGACATGAGGATACATAAGGTCAGAGCGGTCTGGGGAGGAGCCGGCTTAGTGGGTGCAGGAGGGTCTGAGATCTAGGTTTGGGAGGAGTAGGATCTGAGAGGGAGGGAAAGGAAAAAGGGGAATAAAACAAGCGCCTTATAAATATCCATTTAATCTACACAACCGCCCTATACGGATGGGGAAACTGAGGCATGCTAAGGCAAGCAACTTGCCCAGGGGGAGCCGCCAGTGGACGCAGTAGGTGCTCTTCTCCTCCTTCGGCCCAGAGCCTGGCACACGTAGGCATACCACTGAAGGTAACTGCCGAGGAAGAGGCGCGGGGCCTCTGGGGTGCGGGATGAAGGGCCTTTGAGGCAGCCCTTGGACCTAACAGCAGCCTGGACCTGAGGACTGACCAATCCCGGGAAGAGCCAAAAGAGGCGGCGTTGGTGAAGGACCCGTTGCCATAGGAACAAAAGAAGGCCTGAGGCGGGCGCATGCGCAGACCAGAGAACGGGTGCTGAACCGGTGAAAGGTGACGTAAAAGCGCGCGGGGTGGGGCGCAGGGCTCGGAACGTCAAAGCCCCGCGTCCTTCGGCACCCGGAGAGAAGGGAAGGCACGCGCGACGGCGACGACCGCAGCTCCGGCCGGACCGAGACCGGGCGGTGCGGAGCGGACGCGCAAGGCGACGCGAGCAAGGCGGGAGGGCGGCGCCCGCGTCCGAGAAGACCCCCTCGTCACGAACCGCGGCTGCCGGGACCCCGGTCCCCGCTTCCGAGGCCCCGCCTCTCGGGTCTTGGGACTAATCGGATTGAGAGCGCGCCGGCCGGGGCCGCGAACTCGCCAATTGCGAAGGGAGGCAGCCACCGCCCAATCCGGAGCAGACAGGTGCGAGGTCCGGAAGGCACAAACCAATCGGCTGTAGTTGCGACCTGTGGGGGCAGGCCTCGGCCAATAAGGAGGCTCGAGTGACGTCTTTGAGCGCCAATAGGGAGTGACGGAGCTTGCGTGCCCGCCCACCCTTCCGGCCGGAGCTCTATTTACCAGGGGCGTGCAGCGCGTCTGCCAATCGGAGCGCGGCTGAGCGGCCCGGCAGCCAACCCCGGAGGAGCGGCCGGCTGGCGTCCGCCGCACCCAGGAGTTGGGGATGTCCTACAAACCCATCGCTCCCGCCCCCAGCAGCACCCCCGGCTCCAGCACCCCTGGGCCAGGCACCCCGGTACCTACAGGTGAGGATCCAGCTCCACCCCTGCTCGCCTACCGGGGCTGTCGAGGTCTTGAAGAGAAGACGGCCTGAGTTCTACAATACTGGGCCTGCCGCCTATAGCCTCGCTGAGCCTCAGTTTGCTGGCCTGTGAAGTGGGCGTGGTCACGTAAGGGCTTGTAGGTGGAGCGCAGGGGGAGGGGTGTGTTCCTGAAGTTGATCTGCCTGGAATGAAGCGTCCCTTTGGAGGGAGTCGGGCGAACCCGGTCCGGGGTTTGGAAAGCTGGGAGGCGTCGTTCCTGTCCCCGCGCTGACCTCTTACTCGCACCTGTTGCAGCCGGAAGTGTTCCATCGCCGTCGGGCTCAGTGCCAGGAGCCGCTGCCCCTTTCAGACCACTCTTTAATGACTTTGGACCTCCCTCCATGGGCTATGTGCAGGTGAGTGTGGCCGAATGCTTGTTTATGGATGAGGACTGGAGGCCCACCCGGGGCCTGAGCTCACTGCCCTGTTCTCTTTTGATATAGACGATGAAGCCACCTGGTACCCAGGGCTCTCAGAGCACCTATACGGACCTGCTATCCGTCATAGAGGAGATGGGTAAAGAGATTCGGCCCACCTATGCTGGGAGCAAGAGCGCCATGGAGCGCCTGAAAAGAGGTAAGTGAGGCCAGGCCCACCCTGTCAAGGCGGCAGTCACTGGATAGTCCCTCATCGGTAGGGAAGGAACCACATCTGGAGTCAGTACAGGACACTTGAGCCAAGTATCACTAACCAGAGAGGTGTTTGAATTGAATTGAAATTGAGTCAATTTCTAGGAAAGTGCCTGGAAATTTGTGTTTCAACAGGGTTAATTTGAGGATTAGCCAAACCTGTAATCTCATCCAGCCCCTCCTTAGATTTAAGATTCTCTGGCTGAAACAAAAGGGGGTGGGGAGGGAGGGGGTCTTCCTGAGGGTGGGGTGGGGCTGTGGGGAGCCACTGAGATCCTGTATGTTACCTCTGCATCCTCACTCATCCCACCCCAGGCATCATCCATGCCCGGGCCCTGGTCAGAGAGTGCCTGGCAGAGACAGAGAGAAACGCTCGCACGTAACAGGAAGCACCTTGGCCTCAGCGTCTGGACCTTTCCGGCCACTGCAGAGCACCTGCTTCTCCCTGGCCTTTGCCCCAAGTTGCACCTCCTATCCTGGGCTTCCTGTCTTGTCCCTTGGTGGGTGCCCTCCAGGAACCAGGGATCGACTTTCACTCCAGTGGGCAACGCTAACTGGGCTCCTCCCCCTGCAAGAGTTAGCTGCCAGGTCACTGTGAGTCCCACCCACGACCTGCCAGCAGCAGTGTTGGTCCCACTGGAGCGTTCTCCTTTCTTGGCCCCCATTACTCTGCACTTACTTCTCACCACTTTGTCCCAGGCCTTCTCTTCCAGAAGGAGCTTAGAAGGCCTGTCACCTCCCTGCCTTGTCTCTGGGGCCATATTGACTCTTTTCTCAGTGTATCTTTTGCTAAATATGCCCTTTTTATATAAATAAAAAGATGATTTGGAGTTGTTCTCTCAGCTTAGCCTTTCTGGGTCTTGTTCCTCTGCTAAGCCTGGGTGGGCCAGGCAGAAGGAGGGCAAAGAGTGGTCCAGGAATGAGAAGGCTGACTGAAGCTGTCTTTGCCTGCCTCTGATGTCCACTGACCTTGGAGTGGGAACTGCCCCTCCAGGCCCTCTGCTTTCCCAGCTGTGAGTATTGGAAAGGGCAGAGCTCCACTACCGGAGAGCCCTGCCTGCCTACCTGCCTGCCTCTGTGCTGTGCCACCAGGGGGCAGAGGGGGGCCCTGGCTGCCTGCACAGCTGGAGGCACTGATGGCCAGAGGGCTCTTCCTCTGGATTGGTAGTGATGCCTGGCAGGGTGGAAATGCCAGTTCACTTAAGCCACTCCCTTACTTGCCTTAATGCCCTACCGCACCTCAACTCTGACTTGGCCCTGGAAGACTGAATACACCCAGTCTGTGGCTCTTCAGGCAGCATAATGCTTCCCTCCCCCTACACTTTGGCAGCAGAGTCGAGGGGAGAGACCTGACTAGGTGCTGCTATCCACTGCCCCAGTTCCTTTATCCAGGCTCAGTGTGGTCCTGTGAGCTAGCCCTCAGTGTCTCAGCCTTCCTCAGGGTCTAGGTGGCATGTTGGCTAGACTTGTGAACCCAGAAGCATGAGTGCCATTAAGGGACTGGCCCAGAGATTGACAAAGCCTTCTGCCTGAATGTGTAGTTGAGTGACTTGGGGGCCTGAGGCCCTGGAACCCCAGCCCTAGGTGGAATTAGAGCCACCAGCTTCTGCTTAGACCTTGCTGGGGAAGCATTTCCCTAACCGTGGGTCCCAAGTTCCAGAGGATGAGGAGCTGAGGAGGACGGGCGTGGGACCCAGACATATCAAACTCCACCCAGGAGGTGCACACAGGAGGGCTGGGCCAGGGTGCAAATAGGAACTAGAGTCTTTGGGGACCCCAAACAGCCCAGAAGTAGTAAAAAGCGCCAGCATTTGGGGAACAGCCACTTACCCCGCTGTGGGACCTGCCCTTCGCAGC